AAAAAGAAGAAAAAACAAAGGCTGGACACAGTGGCTCATGCCTGTAGTCCCAGTACTTTGGGAAGCCAAGATGGGAGGATCTCTTGAGCCCAGGAGTTTGAGACCAGCCTGTGCAACATAGGGAGACCTTATCTCTACTAAAAAAAGAAAAATAAAGAAAAAATTAGCCTACCCTGGTGGTACACACCTGTGGTTCCAGCTATTCGGGGACTAAGGTGGGAGGATCTCTTGAGCCCAGGAGTTTGAGGCTGCAGTGAACCATGATCATGCCACTGCACTCCAGCCTGGGCAATAGAGCAAGACTTGATCTCAAAAAAAGGAAAAACTTTGCGAGCTATTGGCAATATTACTTTTGAGTTGACGATGGTGTTTGAAGAGGCCCTAAGCACCTGGCTTCCCCAGATGCTCCTGGCTGGGAGGGCCCCGTCCTCTCCCACACCCCCATTTCCACTCAGGACCTATAGAGGAGCAGCTGGGGGATGGCAAGACGGGGGTGCTCACCTTTGATGTTAAACTCCTTGAGGACCCAAGCCCTGGGGGACAGCCAGCCCTGGTCCCAGTTGTCTGTAGTCCCATTGAACCAGAGCTCCTCCTCTTTGTCATCGTCCTTCTCTTTGTCTTCTTGGTCCAGATCCTTAATTTCCTCTACAGAATAATCCTTGTCTTCCTCCTTTTCCTCCCGCTTCTCCTCTTGTCCCCCTGGGGCTCTGTCCTTGAGACGAGTACCCTCTTCCTCTTCTGGATCTCCCCAGAAGAAGGACCAGAAGGTGGACAGCCAGCCCTGGGGCAGGCGATTGCTGGGCTTGGCCAACAGGTCTGTCTCCACCTCTGCCTGGGTGTCCTCTGCCACCTCGATGGTCACCTGCAGGAGCAAACAGGCCAGGCCGGCTAGTGAAGGAGGTCTCAGAGCTGCATTCTAAGGAGAGGGGGGATGATGGGCCAGGGCCAGAGGCGAGGCCCATCCGTTCCTTCAAACCAACTGTCTTCTCTTGGCTGACGTTCTTGACTAACCATCCTGGCCTCTGAGGGCACAAAAATCACAGCTGAAGACCACCTGGGGACTCCTGATTCCCAGACCCCAGATAGGGACTGAACTGGTCTATGGTAGTTTTAACAAATGCCAGGGTTGACGCTCACTAGTTTAAGAGAAGCTGGCTTTGAATCCCGGCTCTGCCAGCATGCAGCTGCTGGGCCTTGGCAGCTCTGAGCTTCCAGTTCCTCATGGTAGGGCTGGAAGCCGAGTGCTCCCGACATCAAATGCCCACAGCAGCCCTCAGAGGAGCTCTCTTGAACCACAATATGGATGGAAAATAAGTAAAATAAAATCATTTATGTGAAATGGAATTTCGGAAACATTATTTTTGGTTATTCAGTAACGTAACATGAGGTTCACTAAACAAAATTTGAAAAAAACCCAGCAAATTATGAAGAAGAAAATGAAAATCGCCTATATTCTGGCAGGGCTTGGTGGCTCAGCCTGTAATCCCAGCACTTTGGGAGGTTGAGGTGGGTGGATCACAAGGTTGGGAGTTCAAGACCAGCCTGGCCAACATGGTAAAACCCCGTCTTTTCTAAAAATACAAAAATTAGCCAGATATGGCGGCGTACCCAGCTACTGGGGAGGCTGCAACAGGAGAATCGCTTGAACCCGGGAAGTAGAGGTTGCAATGAGCAGAGACCATGCCATTGCACTCCAGCCTG